ACAAATTTTTCTAACAGCATATCAGAATCCCCAAATGCTTTAGTTGCTTCAGATCTGGCAGAGTTTAATTGCATAAAAAAGTCATTTTTTGTTAATGCAATTCTCATTCCCTAAAAATATTGTTTTTAAATTTTATTTTAAAAGAACAAGTTACCATAAGCATTGGTATTTTTATGATTGTGACTAGGAATTTAATGTTTACCTTTCCTCCTCCTCCCCTAACAGCTTTTATCATAATCGGAAAACCAATTTTCTCTGCTTCTTCTAACAACTTAGAATCAGACTGATCTTTACCATGATACCCTAATATAGTTGGAACACCAGCTTCAATCATTATGGCCTTTGATGTGCTGAAATTATTTTACAATATTTTATTTTATAATTATTTTAAAAACAAAAAAAAAGTTATTGTTGTTGACAGTTAGAATTAAAGTAATTTTATTGTTTAAAAAAAAAAAAGTTAAAAATTTTTAGTGAAATTTAAAGTATTGAATAATAACTTTATGCAGCTGATTATACTAATGTACTAACATAACTATGAGTAAATAACCTTTTAATTCCCATGTCTCTAATTGCAGATGCAGGTGGGCCAATGAAATATATACCAGCTTCGGAACATTGGAGAGCAAATTCAGTATTTTCAGATAAAAAACCATAGCCTGGATGAATAGCTTGACATTTAGCATGTTTTGCTATAGTAATCAATTTATCTCCTCTCAAATAACTTTCCTGAGAAGGTGCAGGGCCTATGTTATATGCCTCATCTGCCTTACAAATAAAAAATACTTGACATGCTATTTGTAAAACATGAAATAAATAAAATGTAAAAGGTATGTATTAACATCTATGTATTAACAATCTATTAAGCAACAAAAGATTTAATATTATCAAAGCACATATGTTTGGTCTGGGGAATGCATTGGATATGAGAAAATAACAATCTTATCTTATTATGACCAATACAAATTAACATATTGCTTCAATAAAATAAAGGCCATCATAAAAAGATATGCATTCTACTTACACTTATTGTTAGTCTTTTTAAAAGTAATCAAATAATAAATTTTAGTCTTGCTTTTATAATTACCAAAGATGTATGCATGGAATGCTCGTCAGCATCACTAAACACGGCAACTGTTTTTATTCCTAACTTCCTTGCTGTTTTTATAATTCTACAAGTTATTTCACCTCTGTTGGCTATCAGAACTTTATCAATTTTTGTACTATAAAAGGTAGTAAGTCCTCTGTAATAAGTATTTTAAATAAATTAATACATTTAATTAAAAAAAATACTTTAATTAAACATGATAAGTATTTTTAATTATTTATTACGATTTAAAACGTTAAACCACAAAACACTGAAATAACTTTTAGATTTTTATTAAAACCATGCATCATCTTACCGTTTAATAAAAAATCGCTTGTTTAGCAAAAATGCCATTTTTAAAAATATTGATAATTAAAAAAAAATTTTTTTAATTAATGTATCATTTCTTATCACAAGTATTCTTGAGCATAACAGTTAACTAATTTAATATGTAAATTTTGATTAAATACTCTATGACTTATTCAGAGCTCATAAAAATTATTAAAAGAATTTTTTTTTTCAAAACATCTGTCCTAAGATTTAATAAAGTTCAATTTTGAAATTAAACTTTAAAACTTTTTTCAATTATATTTTAAATGCGTAATTAGCCAAGCTTTTTGTAACAAAACTATAATTTCAAAATGAAACATTAGCTTAGACTATATTTTGATGTTATACGAAAATGCAAGTAAAACTTTTGTATTTTTGGCGTGAGGCGCGTTTTGATGTTTAAGATTGTTGTTAATGACAAACTTTATTATTGAAATTACTAAACTTTGCCACGACTCAGATACCTTACGTTTAATAATCATTTATAAAATTCATAAAATAAAATCAAAATTTTAAGGATTCAGCAAATTTTTAACTAAGAATTTTTGCCTCTGCTGAGGTGTTTCATTGTGTACCGACAAGCTTACTCACAGAAAAATATACATTATTTAAGAAATGTAATTATTAAATGGTTGAATTTTTTTTCTTTTTCTTTAAAAATAAAATTTATGCAACAGCAAATTTATGCATGCTCATAGATACTTAACTAATTATCACTGTCTTAATGTTTTGTTGTGTTTAAAAGTAAATTGATAATTAATAAATTTTTTTTTTTTTTTAGGGTTTATATTTTTACTCTTAAATGCATTAATTTTTACTTTTTTAAAATTTACAATTATAATTTAAAACGTGTTCTTTTAAATATAGCAATTATAATTTATCAATGTATTTTTCTTTTAAGTGGCATTTGGAGAATAAGAGAAATGAAAATCACCATTAAAGATGTAAGTGAAAACACATTATTTTTTACTAAGATAAACAAATTTTTATTATGATTTTGACAAAAGAGTTTTTTTTATTGAATAAAATGATCATTTTTTTATTTAATTGATCAAAAATAAGATTATTTTATTAATTTAAATAATTTAATACTTGTCTAAATTTTATCATTAATTAAAAAAAAATTTTTTTTTGTAATTGCAACTGAAAAATATTTGCTCAATTTAGTAGCTTATAAAGTAAATTACTATTAAGCTGTATTAATATTGATAGTGTCACACTTTTAACAAATTATAATTTTGTATTTATTTAGAAAGTATAGTATTTATTAGTT